CCTGGTCTGCTTCCACGTGGGTGTGGCATACTGGCCCCTCTCCCAACCTGTAGGTTTAGTGTCTAGGGAGGGTTCAGTTTGGCTCTGGCTGGGCCCAGCCCTGTAGCTTTCTCTTTCATGCATTCTTCCTGTGGCCACATTGTCCTCATGGTTTGGTGCACAGTGGTAGGGTCTGCACGATGTGTTGGAGCAAAAGTAAACTAGCTAAGAGGAGGTACCAAGAGGCAGAAATAAGGGAGAATGATGGTGGGGCAGGAGGAAGGTAAAAGGAAAGAAAGGAAGGAAGCAAAGCAACGGATAGAGGTATAAACATGGCAGTGCACATATGCAAATATATTAATCCACAAATATAGAAGTATTGGCCTATGTACATATATTTATACGGCAATACTCTGAGTTGGGGGATGGACTTCGGGTCTCTGCTCATACCCTCCCTCAATAAAAGAACATTTTGTTCTAACAAATTGGCAGTCTGAGATGTTCACCCTCCCGAAAATCTCTGAAGACAAAACGGGTACATAAAAAAATGTGGTGAAGAAGGTGGATGGTGCCCGGCTATTAAAAAATATAGTATGCGCGCTCTTAAAGGATTGAAGTAGCACAAGCCGCTATTCAGCAGAGAAGCAACAAGGCCACATGGAAGAAGCACACCACTGGTGTGATCATGAGGAGTCATAGGGACCAGGTAATAGACATCAGCAGACACAAAACAAACAAACAACCAAAAACATATTGTTGAGATCAAGGGGGGATGGAGCAGAGATCCAAAGCCCATCTGTAGACAATGGAACAATTCCCCGACAGAGGGGCCACAGGGAAGGGATGAGTCACTAGCGTGCAGTAAAGCATCAATGAAACACACTATATTCCTCTGGTTCCTTGAGGGTTTCTCACCCCCCACTACCATGACCCTGGTGCTGCTTCTCAATTCAGACTAGACCGGAACATGTACACAGGTATAGATAAGAGATGGGAGCTCACAACACACAGAATCCAAGAACAGGAGAGGAAATAGTGATAACAGAAGGGTAGGGGGGAATAAGGGGAGAGGACGAGAGAAAGGGGAACCTATCGCAGTGATCAACACATAACCATACACTCCTTTCCAGGGGGAAGAACAACAGAAAACATGGGGGAAGGGAGACAGCAGTCAGTGTGTACACTGGTACAGATAGGAACTGGAAATACAGGGAAATCAGGGCGGATGTTCCCTTCAGGACCAGTGGTGTGAGTGGCAATACTGGGAGGGTAGAGGGAGAGTGGGTTGGAAAGAGGGAACCAATTACAAGAAACTGTATGTGACCCTCCTCCCTGGGGGCGGACAACAGAAAAGTGGGTGAAGGGAGACATTGGACAGGGCAAGACATGACAAAATAATAATTTATAAATTATCAAGGGCTCCTGAGGGAGGGGGGAGCAGAGAGGGAGGGAAAAAATGAGGACCTAATGCCGGGGGCTTAAGTGGAGAGGAAATGTTTTGAGAATGATGAGGGCAGTGAATGTACAAATGCGCTTTACACAATTGATGTATGTATGGATTGTGATAAGAGTTGTATGAGCCCCTTATAAAATGATTTTTTTTTAAAAGAAAAGAAAAACAATGTACAATCTATCAGGGGGTTATGAGGGTTGGGGGGAGGAGGGAAAAGCAGGAGCTGTTACCAAGAGTTCAATAGAAAGCAAATATCTAGAAAAGAATGAAGGCAACATATATACAAATTCGCCTTATGCAAGCGATGTATGGATTGTGGCAAGAGTTGTTAAGAATCCCCAATAAAATGATCTTTTAATAAAAACAAATTAATTAATTTTCTAAAATTAATTGATGTGTTTCAACTAACAGATGCAATGATGGAAGTATTCATTAATGGATTCAAAATAAAATTGGAAGACTAGAAGAGATCAATATTTGTTCCTATTGCAAAGAAAAATGAACCAAACAAGTGCAGAATTTTTTTAACATCACATGCAGATACTTTAAAAAATGGTTGTGGTGTTACATTAATAAGGAACTGCCTTGAAATCAGATTCAGAAGAAGACATACATAGGAATATCACTGTTGTACGTGTTAGTCCAGGGCGACTACAGAAACAAATGCATAGACACATGTATAAGAAAGAGTTTTATATAAAAGAGCAATTGCTCTTTTTGAGAAAACATACCAGCCCCATCCAGATCAAGTCCATAAGTCTGACATTAGCCTATATGTCTGATACCAATCTATAAATTCCTTTTCAGACTTATGCAACACATGGAATGACACCTAATGCAGGAAGATCTTAGGCCAGTGGGTGGAAAGTCTTGTGGATCCAATGGAAGTAGAAGCATCTCAATGCTGGCAGGGGTCTCCATGTGGCTCCTCCAGGTTCAGGGCTCTAGCACAGCTCCATGTGTCTTGTCAGCAGGAAGACAAGCAGAGTCAGTGTGTAGCTGGCCTCCAGTGAACTATTCATTTCCTCGGTGCCTCCAAATGAGGCCATCAAGCTGTGACCTGATTGACAGGCAAGACTCCACCCCTTCGCAAGTTGACTAGAGATTATGAAACTGTCACGTTGTGTTAAATGGACCTTAGTTGAAAGCAGAAAAGGCTTTGCACAGACATCTGACAGTGTGGATCAATATCTATAATATTGTGAAAATAGGAATTCCAGGACACGTCGTAATGCTCATCAGAAGCTTTACACAGATGAAGAAGCATTTGAACAGAACAAAGAAGTATTCCATGGTTTAAAATCAGAGAATTAGTATGTCAAGATTTTATCGTTTGAATATATTTATCGAATTTGAAGGCTTAGTAAGTTATCTAAGAAAACGCATGACTTGAAGAAGGACGTGGCATCATGGCTGCAGAATGACGACTCAACAGCCTGTGGTCTGCAATGGCACTAACCACGACGCCACCGGGGCTCCTCAAAGAGCGTAAAGCAATGATGACAACCTAAGTATGGATTCCACCTTAAAATTGGGGGAGGGAAAAGAGTCCTCACAAGTAGACCAGTGAGCAACAACATGAATAAAGGCAATAATAACAAACCTGTCGATTATTTCATTGTATTTGGATCCATAATCAAAATAAGAAAGGCAAGAAATTCAAGTGGTGTACTTTGGGCATGAGCAGAAACTACTCCCTGGAAAAGTCCACCATCCTGAGACATGTAGATAGCACAATGAAAGGAGACTCTCAATGAGATGGATTGACACCATGGCTGCAAGAATAGGCCCAGGCACAGCAATGACTGTGATGATGGCACATGTCTGAACAATATTTCATTCTGTCGAACATGGGGCTGCTATTAACTGAGGAACAACTGAGGAACATTTTTAATTCTATTTAATTATCTTTAATATTTTAAATACCATTTTATAATTGCTAGTGACTGAAAAACTTTTAGATATTTTCATAAAAACTTAGGTATCTGAATCTACTTTTTTAACCTAAAATTTATTAAATCTAAAGTTTCAGGTGAAGATTTCCAGTGCATATTCAGCTCCTAAATTTTAAGATGTACAATAAGTATAAAATACCAGATTTCAAAGATTCAGTGTCAAAATGATATGGAAACTATATTCTTAATGAATTTTTATACTGAATACATGTTAAAAATGAGAATGTATTGATATATCAAGTAAAAGCAAACATATTATTAAAATCAATTCCCTTGTTTTCTTTTTACTAATAAAATGAAAAATCGAATTGCATTTTTTGTAACTGAATGGAATTTTTGCATTGTTTTTGACGTTCCCTCATATTCAAAATGTTGTAAAGTCAGGTGTCATGAGATCAAATATATATACAGTAATAGACACTCTTTATACATACAGTCCCACAAATGCATACAATCAGACAAGCACAACTATAGTGAGGATATAAAACATTTATATCCTCCCAAATGCTTTGTTATCAATCATAATTTCTATGGACAATCCCTGATCTGTTTCTGAACTATACAGTTTTGGCTTTTGCTCAATGTCATATAAATGGCATTAACCAGCATGTAGGCTTTTGAGTATGGTAAAGTCAAATTTTAAATACTACAGCATTCAAAAAAAGTATATACATTGTAAATGAGGAGTCATAAGTTCTAGACCCATACTACTTTCCACAGCATTAACTGTCTAGTGAATCTGGGAATGCATATGAAAAAAGCTGAGATTACTTCCCATAGTTATTTTAGAAAGAAAAAATAATGAATTATGAACAAGATTATCTTCTAGATTGGATGTCTAATGTTATTGGGTATGTTAAAAACAATTGATGTATGTATGGCTTGTGATAAGAGTTGTATGAGTCCATAATAAAACAATTTAAAAAAATAGAAGCTGATACCAAGGGCTCAAGGAGAAAGAAAATGATTTGAAAATGAAGATGGCAACATATGTGCAAATGTGCTTGATACAATTGATGTATGGATTGTTCTAAGAGCTGTAAGGACTCCCAATAAAATGATTTACATATTTAAAAAAAACAGTTTATAGCTACAGAGAATTCAGAAAATATTACTTCAGTCAGACAATACAAATGCTAGCATATATTTAAATATGCCAGTATTTTTGCTATTCTTGCCTTGTTTTTGTCACAGCTTGATAAATAAAATATACTGGGTAAATTTGGAGTAGGCTACCCTCATAATATTTTAAACAAATAAAATTTTTATACATAATGTTTCAGAACAAAGTTTTTCAGGAACATACATATCGCATTATAGCAGAAACATCCGCATTATGTGTATGTAAGATTATATCTGGCCCTGTTAGAGTGCTTTTTTATTTTTAAGTATTAATCTCCATATACCATATATACTAGAGCATAGGCCGACCCAAATATCAGCCAAGGAACCTAATTTTACCACAAAAACTGCATTAAAAATATGCTGAAAAACTTGGCTTATCCACAAGTATATACGATAGTTGAATTTAAAAAAGAATAAGGACTATAATAGGTGTATTTAATAGATAAATAACATATTACAATGAATGTCAATACTTTAAAAATACTTACTGAAGTCTCCAGTAAGAAAAACTCCTTCTGCTCCAGGGGCCCATTCTTTGCAGTATACGCTACCATCAGCACATCTGTGGATGCCAAATGACTCATAGCCTTTGGAGAATTTATCAATACCACCTTCATTTTCTCTAATGTTGTCCAAAGTCCCAGTAAATTGCTTATACCTTTGGAAAAATGAGAAAGAAAATGAGTTAGGAGAGGAATCGTCTTCTCGTAATGAAGCAACTGCATTATTACCCAGAAGAAGGGAAAACTAAGACATCAGTAAAGAAGAATCATGTCAATCATTTCATTTACTTTAGAGGTTAAGTTGTAGGTCCCCATCTCGTAGAATAAGACATTCTATTTTAAGGTACACTAAGTCAACTAACTTTTTTGTTTAGTAATTTCAACAATTTTGGAAAAATATAATAATTATGATGTTTATATTATGCCATCACTGGGAGAGGAAAAAAAGCCAGTTAGTAAGTCCTATGCCAAGGCAATATAATGAAGCAGAAGCCCAGAAGTTTTGTCCCCTCCAACTCCTAAAAAATAAATAGTCAATAACTAGCAAGATCAATACAATTTCCCTATAGCCAGAATTAGCAAATGTTCCCAGTAAGGGGCAGATAATAAATATTTTAGGCTTTCGGGTCATATAGTCTTTCTTACTGTACAACTGCTACAGCAAGAAAGTGACCAGAGACCAAATATAATTTGTGTGGGTATGGCTATGTTCCAACAACAGTTTACTCTCAAAAACAGTCTGTGGCCTGTAGTTGCCCAACTCTGCTCTTTGGTAGCAAAATGGAAAGGACATAAGGTCAAACTACTCATGGCCATGAGAAAAAACAAAATTCCTAAGCAGTACTGAAAATAGAACTTCTCCTAATTCCCTGACAGGTCCTCCCAGAGTCCACAATAATATAGCAACACAATTCTGTCTATTTTTATGAGCATCGCCATGTCGTGCAAAAACTAGGGAGAAACTGAGAAAACTAGAGAAGTAAACCATATTGCCAGGGTGCTCTGTCAGAAGTGAACGTTCTAGAACTGCACAGTGAATTGAGCACTGGCAATAAGCAGCCCTACATTCCCCATACCTTGTAGGAAAAGCAATATAATTCTCAAAAAAGGGCAGCATGAATCCTGATAAGGGATATAGAAGAAATATAAACATTTGATAGTGTAACTAATGAAAATCATCCTATCTGAGCAGAAACATAAACTTGCCAGAATGTTTTATACTATATAGCTACTTAACTAAAGATAATTTCAATGGTCAACTTTAAAGCAAATATGAAATACGATGGGAGTGAAACTATATTAATAGAAATTAATTAAATAATCAAAATAGAAATATTATAAAAATGTAATAGAAATACTGAGAATGTTTACACACTGAAAAATGAAGCAAATGACACTGAAAAATGTGTTCATAAGTTGCAGAATAGGAATATAAACTGTTTGCAAACTTCTAACAAAAGCACAATAACATATTACTTTAGGAAATGAGAGCTGAGAAATCACCTATCAAACGATAAAGTAACATGTGACTTTAGATTAAGGGAAAATGGAGAGAGTAAACATAATTTTTAGAAAATAATGAATTAAAATCTAAAAGAATAAAATTACAGAGTAAAAGTAGTGGAATAATCAGAAACTGACATCATTAAGAAGGAAATAAGACAAATGATTGGGCATTAAGAGATTTGAAAAATACCCTAAGCTGCTCTCAATAAAGATAACCAATGTTGCTGAAGAGCTAACAGAGAAAACATGGATATAAAAGGTATAAAATTCAAAAATGTTCTTAAATTAAAGGATAATATTTCATGAAAATATTGGGACACAAACATTCACCATATTCCCTGTTAAGTTGTTGAAATACACGTGATAAAGAAATAAATCTATAATCATCTAGGTACAAATACCTCTAGGGTACAGGTATTTTTTCTAAAAGGATATTATTTCTTGCAGGCCAACAGAAAAAAAAGCCAAATCAGCATAATTTTTACGAGAAAAAGTGGTAAGCTAGGAATTTTATACAAGGTAAGTCCCACTCAATGCAATTTCAAAAATATAATTTTATTTTTAAATAATATGAAATTGCTACTAATGAACCATTCCTAAAGAAAAGAAATCTATTTTCCATAAAAAACAAAATAGTTAATTAAAGGTTTAAAAAAAACAACCCTCTCTACCCACCACCATTGAGTCAATGCTGACTCATACCAACCCTGTGGGTTTCCGAGATATTACCTGTTCACACAAATAGAAAGCCCTTGTTTCTCCAGTGGAACCACTGCTGGTTTCAAACTGCAGATCACAGCCCAATGACAGACTAAGCACTTTCTTTTTTAAATATAAAGATCTATTTTTGCCAATAGAGGAATTGTACAAATGCAACTTTTTAAAAATGTTAATGGACAGTGTAATGCTTAGGACTTGCGTCAAGTTTGCAGCACCTGCATGAAGAGATGAGTGGAATCCAAACTCAATCAGATGACCACCTGGAAAAGCCCCCTGGAGCTGTGGCCCAGTTATAAGAGATTTCATGGACAAATAGTCTTTTCCTTAGTCTTCTTCCTGCGGGCCTGATTCCTGTCATCGGGCTCCCTGGGACTTAGGCCTGCAGCCACAACGTAGCCTGTTGACCCTTCAGAGCTGTTGGCAACCTTCTAGGTTCACTGCCTTAGGTCAGCTTAACTCTGTTCCACCCGCCTACAGTCTTACTACTTCCAGCGTCATTTCCCTGGCTCAACAGTAGGCAGCAATGTGAGTAAGGAAGGGTCTTCACCAAATCTATGAATGAGAATTGTTCCAAGCTTGCCTGCTCTATGATTTTATGAGCCACTTTATTATAAATTCCTTTCTTGACATAATATTCTTCTTGTACATATCTTAGTGTCCTGGTTTTATTTCTCTAAAAAACCCAGACTAATACAAAGAAAAAATATTATTTAAAAAAAGAAGTTCTCAAGACAGAAAAAGAATTAAAAACAAGAGAGAGAGAATAATGTACAAGAATATTCAGGCTGCTTTATTTTATAGCATGGGGTCACTCAACATTGACTAAAATGTAAAGCAGCTATAGCTCATTACTTAAATTCTGAATTACTCTTAGAAAGTATGAATATTCAAACTCGTAGTCACTCTAAGAGAGAAGATGAGGCTCCCATAAATATCTACTAGGGAGGAGTTCTGTTCTGTCCCATAGGATGGTTGGGAGTCAGAAGCAAGTTGACGGCAGTGGGCAAAGTAAAATTGAACGCAACCTTATTTTGATTATGTCCTCTATCTACCAACCTATATGTACATCTAACTAACTAGCCACAAAAAATATCAAGAATTATCTCCCCCAAATATCAGTATTTTTTTAACTTTTAAATAATATTCTAGACTTTTCCTAATTCTAACAAATAGGTAACATGTTAAGAAAACAATCTAAAACAAAGTTTTAGATGATTAAAACAGCTGAGAAAACTTATAAAATGATCATAGAAATTTCACTGAGTATGAAAGACTGTGTTTATAAAATTTGGGAAGTTAAAAACATTTATTATAGATCTATTCAGTGAAACAGTGTCCTGAAATAGTCTTGAATACAAGTGAAACTTAAATATGCTTATGTGATATAATCAAGTTTTGGGATCTAAAAGTTAGTCATAAAAATCAGATCTCTAAAACTAAGCAAACATCAGAAAGAACAAAGTTATAGACACTTAAAAGTTTTAAATGGAACCAAAAGTTCACAGATAAGAAATAAAATGACTAATAAACATATTGAAAAGAGACTCAAATCCATAAGAGATATAAATATAAAATTCCCTTTCCACCTAAAAGACCAGTAACCATCTAAAGGTATGACAGAGTAGCTAAAGGTGATTTGGAGATAAGAGCAGAGAGGATGCTTTCTTAAGCATTCTATAAGGGAATATAAATTAGACAACAATTTGTTATCAATAACACATTTTAAAACCGCATGCTCTTAACTAAATAATGCAATATTCTAAAATATGGATATTTCACGGAAGAAAGTAAAGACATCTCTATGCACAATGATATCCATTGTGGTATCATTTGTAATAACAAACAGTAGGAAATAACCTACCTGCCCACCAATGGAACACTGATTGGATAAAACAAAAGATTTCGTAAGAACAATTAGGAAGAATGAGCTAAGGTGAAATGCGGTCAGAGGGAAAGTATGCATGATAGAGTGCTTAGGAAAAGGATGCATTGAAGAGCAGTTTCATCCTGTATTACATTTGTGAAATATTTATGTATCAGTACAGCTACAGGTGGCAGGTGTGTTCATTTTCACAGGGCCCACAATGAGTCAGCACCAACTTGAGGGCAATGAGTTTGCTTTTGGTTCTGTCTTGAGGTCCAGGTCCTGTATACGGGATCACACTCACCAAGCTTCATCATGCCCCCACTTGCTTTGATGACTTAGAGAAATTTGCCACAGAATCTGATCTACTGGTTTTTGATACATCCTCCAACAAGCTTTATGCACGTCTGAAGGCAATGTTTCTCTCTCTAAACCTTTCCTACCGAAAAAAAAAAAATTCTTAATCTTATTTGTACCACCTCAAAATGGTAATTTTGGCATTACAGTACAGTGAAATTTCTCCCACCAAATGAGGGAGTGTAGCATCGAATAAAGTGAAGAGTACTCTAATGTTAGGGGATTGGTGGGTTTGACATTCTGTTGGGTATAAAGAGAGCAAAGTCATAAACAGGAAGGGACAATCCTATGACCATCAGGAAGGAAGAAACAGGAGCTGAGCGTGTCTAAGAACTGAGCTGGGAGAAGTGGCTGCAGCAGCAGATGCAGCACCAGCAGGCTTCCTGCTCAGAGAATGAGGCAAGTTGAATGATGTCAGGAACTGATTGTGCTAAAAACATTTTGTAACCCGTGCCCAGGGAAGGAAGGCAGAGGCCATGAACCTGCATGCATGAGGCAAGGCCCGCTGGAGTGGCTGAGAACAGGTACTGCAGATAAAAGAACTGAACTGCACCCTTAACAATTTGCAATGTGTTAGCTTCCCTAACAAACTCCGTAATTGTATTTTCTGTGAGCTTTGTGTGATCATGCCATAGGTTATCAAACCCAGCAGAGGAGACTGTGGAGGGCTGGTTGGTGTCAGAATACGGTCGAAAAGGCTCGAGGTGG